ACATAAAAATACTATAATATCCTCTTATTAGTAAAATAAAATATTATTAAAAAAAAATAATGCAAGGTAAAATTACTATTTTATACTATTCCCAAACTCTTTCTCTCTCTACCATGCATGGCGTCTCTTCCACCCCCGCAAAACCTTAATTTTGGGAATACTAAACCCAACAGCCTCTTCCACCCCTTCAAAAACCCTAATTTTCTTCACCACCACCACATCTTTCTCCACCCCCTTCCATCAAAACCCTAATTTCCCAATCCAACAAAACCAAGGTCGATTCCTCCACCTTCTTCTTCACCGAGGTCAGAGAACTCGACCCCAAGCTCCACCTCTCCCATTTCCCCTCTTACGACCCAGTATCGTTGATTACGCCTCCACTCGCACCAATGCTAAGTCGCTGACATCGAGAAAAGTCTATTGCCGTTCGGATTCTACTAACGTCCTCAGCGTCATCGGGGCTTTGTTGTTCAGCATCATCGGTGTTTTGTTGTTCAGCGTCGGCTTCGACGCTTTCACTGCCAAGGCCATGTACTTGTTTTGGTCATTCTTCGCTCCCGAAATCCAATCCAACCAATCCATCATTATCGCCTCAATGTCGTCGTCTCCTACATCTCCATCATCAACGTCAACATCTCCATCATTGCCAACATCTTCGTCCATGGTGACTCCCACCGTACAGATGATTTCAATCAACAAGGCATAAGCCTTGTTTGCCTAACCTTCTATTCTCAAGCTCTGTTCTCACCGGCGTAAAGCTCATGTTTGCATTTTTTTATTGTATTGGGTGTGGGGGTGATGATGGTTTTTGAGTGCGATGACTATTGTGGTGGAGTCGCCACCGCCAATTGTTGCGGCATTGATGTGCTGGTCGGGAGTCCCTTAGAAAATGGCATAATAAGAAGAGAAGGGTAAATTAGGATTTCAAAATTTATTTTATGTCAATTTTGACCAAAAAGTAGTCTGATGGATCTATTTGTACATTTTTTTTGAATTTTATGAACTGGAATGCACATTTTAAAAAAAGAGGAACTATTTGTGCACAAAACCTATATTACATGGAGTTTTCTACACTTAACCCTTTCATGAATAACGATTTTATTTACATCCTTTCAAAACTAAGAATTGTTGTAACAAATTAAGTACATAATAAAAAGTAATAAAGGTCGAAAAGTAAACATGTTATACACAAACCATCGTAACTAATACATTCATCATAGAGAACCAAAGATTTTAAAACACCGCCCCGGGGGCGTGCAGCTCACAACTTAAACCTACACAAAACTCATTTTACGAGTTAAAACTGTGTTCCAACGCAACTCCGACTAAAATAAAATTCGGATCACAATATCACAAGAATGATATATACTTCGTATTTGTTTATTAATTTTCAATAATTCTCTCTCTCTCTCTCTCTCTCCATGCAGCTCACAACTTAAACCTACACAAACTAACGGGCTAGTAGCCTAGCGGCATCAACCTCTTACTTCCCAAATAGAGGCCCGGGATTCAAGTCTCAAAAGAGACATGTGTGCGTAAGTACTAACTAGGAAAAAAAAAAAAAAAAACCTACACAAAACTCATTTTACGAGTTAAAACCTAATTCCAATGCAATTCCGCCTAAAATAAAATTTGGATCACAATATCACAAGAATGATAAATATTTTGTATTTGTTTATTAATTTTCAATAATAATAATATTAATAATTTAATATATAACTATATAACAGTAAATCATAGTAAAAGTATGAACAATGTAATTAGAATTTCACGTCAACCATCTTGTTCAAGAATCCATTACGCTTTCAACTCATCTCAACAAAATGTTTGAATGAATTTGTCCTTTATGCGATTGAAGACTAGTTTTCCGTCCAGCTGAAATCGGTGGAGAGCTAGTTTATATTTACTTTTCGTCACTTGTCAAACCACCCAAACCAACGACAGTGACGTTAAAGCGTCAGTCAACACCAATAAATGAAATGACAAAATACCCACAACATTTTGACAACATATTTCAGCAATTTGAGACTTCTAGTGTTGTGAAAATATAGTATAAAGATGAAAAATGATGACTGTTAACAATGCTTTCTTCAATTTAGTGGTACTGTTATTTCTTTCTAGCTATATATATATATATTAATAACATTTGGTCCAGAAACAAGAGACTTAACTATTTAAATATCAGGATTTTATAGTGGATACTGATTCAACCATTCATATGTATTTTTATTTTATTTTTCTTTTTTAAAAAAATAACAACTAGTCTTGATTACAGATTCTTTACGTAGGTCGGTGGGTGGCATTTACGTACACTACTGGTGGTGAATGAATAGGGTTCGATTAAAATGTAGTATGCAAAAATCAGAATTAAAGCTGCTGCTTAATTAATCGATATATATATATATATATATATATATATATATATATATATATATATCAAACATATATATATGATTCAATGGAAGCTTCCTGGAAAGAGCAAGTACCCTGTAGATTTCGGTGAAGCATATAAAATTGCAAATCTAAAACAGAGCAGCAGAGATAGGGCGTGAATGAAGTAAATTTATGGTCCTCCTTCTGCATGCAGAGCCTGTATTATTGTCAGAACACACCATTAAATTGAATAATCTTTGAGAGGAGAAAATACAGTTGAAATTTTGATTTCTTTTTATTATTATTATTATTATTATTATTATTATTTATGTGATAAGAATCAAATCTCTAAAATATTTGGAGTTTAAATGTTTAATTTTATGAAACTTTAAATGTGATAAACATGCATGGATATGTTGTTTTAAGCAAAATTAAATTTGTTAATACAGAAAATAAATTTGTGGATTGTGCTTGCGTATTAGGGCACTCTAGGACACGCAATTAAATTGTATTTGCGTGTTTTAAGTGTTTGATATTGTCACAACATTTGCTTATGTATGTGTTTTAGGCTAATTGTAAAACCTTATTTAATATTCAATTGGGCATGATGTCACCGGATGTCCTTAAAATTGCACGGAAAAAGAAAATAATTCTAAACAATTCAATATTATTTGCGACAATAATAATCTTATAGTTATTTCCTATTTATATATATATTTATATATATATATATATATAACATAACCATACACACCCAGCACAAAAGTGCAATATATGCTCCAAATATGGGGTATCTCAACTACTATGTACGAAGAGCCATTACAGCCTTTAAACCCAAAACCTTCTTCCGCAACGGGGACCAATTTGGGTACACATCAATCAAAATGCTAATGCTGCAATCACGAATCAGTACTTAATGAAAACATACATATTCACACTTGTACAGGCTTATGTACAAATTAAATAAATGAAATATATAATTTCTACATTTATTTATATTATCTCTTCCTCTCTCTGTATCTACTGCACACGCGCGCAAGTTCATGAATGTGTATATAGAATGTTTATAAGATAATAACTTTGGTTTCAAAATAAGGATAATGTTCATGTCTTATCCGGATACTAATAAATCTATTGTCCAAAATGTATAACATTATTCTTAATATGGAAATTATGTTATTTAAGAAAAAAAAAATGCAATTATTATAGATTTTGTTATCTACTGACCTGGCATCATTGAGATAAACCACCTTAAGACAAACCTTAAGTTATCCATGACTGATTAATAGTACAATATTTATTGGAATGGCAAAATAAAATTGATAGTTGTTTGTAACATTACTCTTAAAATAATGCAACACCATGAATGCAGTTTTTTTTCAGAAAAAAAAAAAGTACGAAAGAAAAAAACTAGGACTACATTTTGGTATCACAAAGATTTCCACAATTGTAAGTCTCTTTTGAATCCAATTCCCAAAGGCATGATGATTTTCACTGCAAATTTTCTACATAAGAAATTTACCAAACAAATTTGTTTAAGAATTAAGAAATTAACATAAAGTGTTTCACTGGCCTAACTTTTTTTTTTTGGGTAAGTTAGTTTATTACTGTAACCCCACCAACAAAACCAGAACCTGCAAACAACCATCAGCAATAGAGAGAAACAAGCCTATGTAGAAAATTACTAATTAATATATTCTTTTAGTTTGAATAATCATATAGTATATTTAAGACAACTCTCTAAATCTATACACACCAAACCCAAAAAAAAAAAAAAAAAAAGGGAAAAAAGAAAAAGAATGCACCACATTTGGTTAACTATAGATCGATCTTCCACTCTTCATGAAATGTTAATATGCGTAACTTGGTCATAAAGCAAACCATTAACATCACATAAATAGTGCTCCTGGTTTCCCATACATTTCAACACTACACATAAAAGGTTTTTTCGGCTCATAATTAACATTGATATAACACCTCTAAGAACATCAAGATTAAACTAAATATATATATATATATATATAGATATATATATATATATATATATATATATATATATATATATATATTCGGCAAGTAAAACTAAAAATCTTTATCAAAAAAAAGAAAAAGGAAAAACCAAAATGATGTTAAAAATCTAATTGTATTGTAAATTAATGACAAAATTAAGTGAAATTCCGGTGAACAAAAGAGTTTAATTCAATTTTGGCACTATTAAACTGAAATGTTTATATTAAATCTTTTTTAATGGTAAATTTATTTTATTTTTTTTTTAATAGAAAAATGTTTATACTTTTACACCAATCATATTGTAGAGTTTGTTTTTTTTTTTTTTTTTTTTTTTTTTTTTTTTTTTCACCAAGAGTAAACAAGTAAACAGTTTTTTTTTTTTTTTTTTTTCAATAAGTGTGTTTATCTATATATATATACATATTATAGTTTTTAATCCTAGAGTATTTGTTAGTGAAGGGGAACTGCCGAAATATATGATAGGTTTTGAAAGAAAAAAAACGTAGTGAGGGAAAGGGTGGGCAGTAAAGAAGGCATAACTGGCTTCACCACACACAATAGAAGGAATTTAAACATCATATATATCTATATATTCACAGCCAAATTTTCTCTCTCCTAACAATAACACCTCCCTCCATCCTCCATAAATGCTATTGCACCCTCTCTTTATGCTCTGCAATAACTCCTCGCTGCCACATCTTCTCCCACCTGTTCCCTTCTCCTTCTTCTCAACCTCTGCAAATCTCTCTCTCCATTTTTTTCTTCTTTCATGATCATCTCAGTATTCTTCTGGAGTTCTTTTGACAAGAAAAAGGTCTCAAATATCACAACCGCCTGAAAACCACTCCTTCAGCCTTCAAAAAATGGTTTTCAGGTGACCCTTTTGCCTGAAAACCAGATCTGAGACCTCTCTCATTTTGGTTACCCTATGGCCTCTATAGGGTTTGTTTCCTTTGCTCTCACTGTTTCAAAATCGGTAAGTTACTCTCTATACCCCTATATATATATATATTTATATATATACACCATCCATCTCTTTACAACTTTTATGTTTTTGATGGTTAATGCACTACAAACACACAATAACACATATACATATGCAAAAATAATGATATAATCTTGTATACTTGTCTATCATATTTTGTTTAACGTTTCTCTCTCTTTAAATTTACTTTTCCGTTATAATTTGCAGAGAAAGAGAAAATGTGTGAGTTTGGACTAAACCGAGATATTGGTGGGCGTTATTATATAGACTTATGGTTTAAAAGAACATTTTACACACAAGAGTCAACGCTTTGTTGCTAATTTTGTTCAATCTAGCAAGTCACTTGGTCACGTAAAGACAAGATAGGAAGTCCAAATTAAACCGTAGTATTAGCCTTCTCTGCTTTGTTGTTACTTGTAACCATCCTATTAGTTTGCTCAGACACTGCCACAGAATCTAATTAAACTCTCAACGCACAACCTGTCTCACTCAAAACACCCCAAAACCAAAACCTAGACCTCACTTCAAAAAAAACACACATAGACAGAGAGAGAGAGAAGAAAGAAAAAAAAAGAGTACTATTTCTAGGGTTTGTTTGTGAGAGAGGTGCACTTCTTAGGGTTTGTGGGTGGGTGATATATGTCTGCTCCACTGCTCGAAAGGAACGGAAAGGTCACTGGATTTGGGTTGTCTTCGGAGCTAGTTTTCAGTCAGGTCATGATTCACGACTCACTAGTGTCCATTGAATTAATTAACCATACATTTAATTTCTCATTCTAAACCCCAGCTATACTTCTATGTTCTTTCTTCAAAATTCATTTTCGAGGACTTCTTAAATAATACTTTTACTTTGTTATATCAACTTTTCCAATGTACTGTTTCACTCAACCTTTTTTAGATCAATCTTCTGTTATACCATAAGCAAGGTTATGAACATAATTCAAGCAGAATCATATATTCTCCATTCAGAAGAACTGCAATTTTTTATTTAGTTTATTTTCTTTTGCAGATCCTCGCACACATATATCAACACACACATAAGTTTGCGTGTGGTTTGTAGTGCTCTATGTACATGTTTCCCAATTAGGTCATTCATTGACATTAGAGAGAGATCTGATGCCCAAATAATCTACAGTACTTTTTAATGTTTGGTTTTCAGCTTTCATTTCTTGTGCTTTCCCTTTTGTCCATTGTTTTAGAATTTGCGTCACCAATTATATAAACTATTCCATTTGTTACATTGTGTTGTTACTGGTCATGAGTGTTTGAACTTTCACCGTGTTGTTAGATTTGAAAGCCATAGCATTGAATCCCAAGGATCGGTCGCTATGTTTCAGCCAAACATGTTTGATAGTCACCATCATTTACTCGATATGGCCCATAGATCTCCGGAAAATGAGTTGGATATGATTAGAGACGAAGAATTTGAGAGCAAATCCGGCACTGAGATCATGGAAGCCCCCTCTGGTGATGATCAAGATCCAAACCAACGGCCCAACAAAAAGAAGCGTTATCATCGCCATACACAGCATCAAATTCAAGAAATGGAAGCGTAAGCATCTTATTTTGACTCTTGTGTGCTTTTGTACATGAGAGAAATAGAGAGATGAGACACAATAAGCTATTATCACTGATGATTCCATTAAACCTAATTTGGTTTATGGGTTTTGTAACAGTTTCTTTAAAGAGTGTCCTCACCCAGATGACAAGCAAAGGAAAGATCTGGGGCGTAGATTAGGGTTAGAGCCTTTGCAAGTCAAATTTTGGTTCCAAAACAAGCGCACACAAATGAAGGTAACAGCTGATCTAACAAGCTAGATTCCATCTTGTAATTTAAATAAACAACATTCTTATCTATGGTAATCTTGTTTTGAATATAAATTCTGAACTCATTTAGCTGCTAACCAAATTGTTCACAGGCTCAACATGAACGCCATGAGAACACACAGCTGAGGAATGAGAATGAAAAACTTCGTGCAGAGAACATCAGGTACAAAGAAGCACTCAGCAACGCTACTTGTCCCAACTGCGGTGGCCCAGCAGCCATTGGCGAGATGTCATTTGATGAGCAGCACTTGAGGATCGAAAATGCTCGTTTGCGAGAAGAGGTGATAGGGCAACTGGAGAAGAGAGAGAATATATATAAATACACACACAAACACGCTCACGTATGAGTTATCATTGCAGTTTTAAGCAAGAAGGGTGATTCTTGTAGTTGGACTAACATATATATGTTTTGTTTACAGATTGATAGGATATCTGGGATTGCTGCAAAGTATGTTGGCAAGCCAGTGCTTTCATACCCTCATGTTTCTACTCAAGGATCATCACATTCTCTTGATATTGGGGCTGCGAGTTTTGGGTTACAATCAGGCGTGGTTGGGGAGATGTTTGGAGGTGGTGATCTTCTTAGGTCAGTGCCTGGCCCTACTGAAGCAGACAAGCCAATGATCATTGAGCTTGCCGTTGCAGCAATGGAAGAACTAATCAGAATGGCTCAGGCTGGTGAACCCTTATGGATGGCGAGCACTGACAACTCTATGGAGATTTTAAGTGAAGACGAGTATTTAAGGACTTTTCCCCGAGGAATCGGTCCAAAACCCTTGGGACTAAAATCTGAAGCTTCAAGGGAATCTGCTGTTGTTATTATGAATCATATTAATCTTGTGGAGATCCTCATGGATGTGGTAGGGCTTCCTCTCTCCCTTTTACATGTTCGTTATCAATATAAGAATTTTTTTGGGGGGGAAGGTATCAATATAAGAATATTAACTTATTTAGACTGTATTCATTAATTCAATTGTCAATGGTTATCAGAATCAATGGTCTAGTGTGTTTTCTGGTGTGGTTTCAAGAGCAATGACCCTGGAGGTCCTTTCAACTGGTGTAGCAGGGAACTACAATGGAGCTTTACAAGTGGTATACATTAAAGAAACCTTCAGTTGAGAAATTCCATTCATCATGAAAAATATTTCATACAATGTTTTAAATGAAACAATTGCTAAAGTATGTCTTTAGTTCAATTAGCTTCAACAAAACATACCTAACATCACGATTGTTTCAGATAACAGCAGAGTTTCAGGTACCTTCACCGCTCGTTCCAACCCGTGAAAACTATTTCGTTAGGTACTGTAAGCAGCATGCTGATGGGACTTGGGCAGTGGTTGATGTTTCCCTGGACAATTTGCGCCCTAGTTCAATATCACGCTGCAGAAGAAGGCCATCCGGCTGTTTGATTCAAGAATTGCCAAATGGATACTCAAAGGTGACTTCTTCTACATTATTCTCACTTTCTCATAGCAGATATGTGTGTGTGTGTGTGTGTGTGTGTGTGTGTGTGTGGTTCTGTCACTAAATTCCCTCATTATCTTACAATTTCATAGGTTATATGGGTGGAACATGTAGAAGTGGATGATAGAGCAGTCCACACTATATACAAACCGCTGGTGAATTCAGGTCTTGCTTTTGGGGCAAAACGCTGGGTGGCTACATTAGATCGGCAATGTGAACGGCTTGCCAGTGTAATGGCCAATAACATTCCAGCAGGAGATGTTGGCGGTAATAAATATATCATTTAATTCCTGTCTTACATAAAATGGTAATATGTGGATGGTTTAGTAAAGCATTAATTTCCCTTCTGATTCTTAGTGTCGTTTTGCTCCTTCGCAGTTATAACTACTTCAGAAGGGAGGAAGAGTATGCTTAAGTTGGCTGAGAGGATGGTGATGAGCTTTTGCACTGGTGTTGGTGCTTCTACCGCGCACACATGGACAACATTATCAGGAAGTGGTGCTGATGATGTAAGGGTTATGACCAGAAAAAGTATGGATGACCCGGGCAGGCCTCCCGGTATTGTGCTCAGTGCTGCAACTTCTTTCTGGATTCCAGTCCCACCAAAGAGAGTTTTTGATTTTCTTCGAGATGAGAACTCTCGAAGCGAGGTACCTGAATTTTCCAAGCACCTGTTTTTTATTCTCTTTTGACGAACAAAAAAAGAAGGAAAAAGAAAAAAAAAGGAAAGAAAAGATAACAACTCTTTTTGGAAGCATTTCATCTTTTATAGATAAAACAAAAACATAAATGTAGTAATATACAAAGCATATAAACTAGTAACATATACACAGATATAGGACACGGACACGATACAAAATAGTAGCATAGACACAGACACAGATACACGGACACGATACAAAATGTAAGGCTTAAATGAGCAAGATGCCATTATTGTAATGATTTTATATCATATAAATACCATTATTCCACTACGTTGTTGCCAGAATGTTTTTGTTTTACATGAGCAAGATCCCATTATTGTAATGATTTTATATCATATAAATACCATTATTCTACTACTTCATCCTAAGAAGCACGGAACGGATACGGGACACAGATATGGCGACACGGCAAATCCTAAAAATTTAGGACACAGACACGGCAGGGATACAACAAATAATAAATATATTTTATATATATATGATGACATGATGTTGTACTTTAAGAAATTAAGAGTAATATTAGTTCTTACAGCCTTGTAATGAAAAAGAATTGTGTTTTGCTGGGAAAAAGAAAGAATGATAGAATGAGGGTTAAAAAAAAAAACAAAACAAAACAATGAGGATTAGGGTTTTGTTAGAAAAAGAATTAGTCCTTAGTTAAATATAAAGGTAAGAATCCATAGAAGAGAAAAAAAGTTCACGGGGAATAGAGGAAAAAAGAAAAAGAGACACAAAAAGCAATTTATTGTGAAAAGAAAAAAAGAAGTATCTAGGGTTTGTGAAGAACAAGATCGATGAAGAAAGAAAAGACGAGGACAAAGAAGACAGAATAGAGAAGAGAGAGAGAGAGAGAGAGAGAGAGAGGCCATCCACCAGTAGCAAATCTTGGTTGGTGTCCGACAGTGACATGACACGGATACGGCTCCGTGCTTTCTAGACTGCAACTTATGGAAGAACACAAATAACAACAAACTAGAAGAAACTTCAACTAAAATTGACAAATGGGACAGGACTGCACGAACACATGAAATTATAACTCATACTCTTTTATTTTATAGCTTAGGCAAACAAGCCCTTGGATATACTTTAAATGATTAAAGTCTATGTTTGTCCATGTCTTATGTTGCAAGAATGGACATTATTTGATAAGATCAAGGCCTGCAATTTCTAAATCTTAAAGTTATCTGGTAAAATAGTAATTTATCTATTTCATTGTGCATAATACAGTGGGATATACTTTCCAATGGTGGCCTAGTTCAAGAAATGGCGCATATTGCTAATGGTCGCGATCCAGGCAACTGTGTATCTCTCCTCCGTGTTAATGTAAGTTGTTTGTAGGCTAATTATGGCTCATAATGTTATATCAGGAACTTCTTCTCATTAATGGAACTAACATATTATTAAATCTCAAAAACACTGTAGAGTGCAAACTCAAGCCAAAGCAACATGCTGATTCTACAAGAGAGTTGCACAGATTCTACAGGCTCTTATGTTATATATGCTCCTGTTGATATTGTTGCCATGAATGTGGTCCTAAGCGGAGGGGATCCGGATTATGTTGCCCTCCTGCCATCAGGCTTTGCTATACTTCCTGATGGGCCTGCACATCATGGAGGAGGAATTCTTGATGTTGGATCTGGTGGATCATTACTGACTGTTGCATTTCAGATCTTAGTTGATTCAGTTCCAACAGCAAAGCTCTCGCTTGGATCGGTTGCAACTGTTAACAGTCTTATTAAGTGCACAGTTGAAAGGATCAAAGGTGCTGTAGTGTGTGAGGCTGCATGACTGAGATGTCTTAACTACGGTGAGCCATTCTTTAAAATTATCCCAATCAATATTCATAGAAGTGTTTTTATTTGGCTAAGACTTGCTATGTTTTAAGATTCATGGAAACAGAATCTAAAGTTTGTTTTTCTGGTATTTAAGAGTTAAAAACTCGAGGATTAGGGTCAGGTTTCAGTCATTTTTTCTTGATTGCTAAACTTTTTCTTACCCTCTATTTTGCATTGATTAACTTAAATAAACGGTTAGGAAAGCTTGATTTTCATCTAACTTTATAAAAGTAAAATAAACTGTGAAAGAGCTCATTGATCAGAACGGTCATTAGATTAGGCCAGGTGTCTTATACGAATCAGACTTTTGGGGGTTAAAAAAGTAACAAGAACGTATTCATATTATATGGTACGGTGGATGATAGGAGTGACTAGAGTAGATTCAGTAATCAAAATGTGAGGAAGATATGAGGAATAATGCCTATCACTGACAAATAAGACAAAATAAACTAAAAACTAGTTTGCACAAAAAGTAAGGGACAACAAGACCAACCAAAACTAACATGGAATGAAGTAACTAAAAATGACCTAAAAAAATAAATATTAGAGACATGGTGTGTAGTAGAATAGAGTAGAAAAAACAAAATTCATGTGGCTGACTCCATTCATTTGGAAAAAAGCAAAGGATGATGATGGTGATATGAAGAAATAGTTAGGGTTTGATTTTGAGAATTTCCCTTGATTGTTTATGTGTTTAAGGTTATATAATAAATAATTTTAGATCAGAAATCTGAATGATGAAAAGAATTTTTGCTTCCAAAGTCTAAACTGGATTTTTATTACAGAAGAAATTGATGTTTAACGTCAAATAGTGTTACTTACGATGGGTTCAAGTATTCTGACCAATTTGTTTCCTCCTTGAATGTAAATTCCAAAGTGATTTCGTTTATCATCTTCTTGATATATAGGAATATCATCATAGTGCAGAGAAATTTTAGCCTAATAACAACAATCACAGAAAAAGAAATATAAAAGCAAACAATAGATAAGCAAGGAGAATGTGTGACTAGCAAATTACGTTCATGATTCTCTCTACTCCATGCATCTATATGACTCTAGATTTACAAGTCTTTATCTTTTTACTCTTTTTCTCTGTAGTGAGATATGAAGGAAGGAACAAGAGCAATAAAGGCTGTGTTTACTCTGGGATGCAAAACAAATTGAAGAAGTCAAGAACGCACCTTACATGACCCTTGCTTTGTGGTGTTTGTCAGGGCAGAAAGCAGCAAGAGAGCACATCACCACCGTGCAAGGGTAATAGGTTCGGGTATTGACTTTGCCTATCAATGCCGAAAGTAAACCAAGACCTTGTGGTAACTTGGAAACTCCTCATTCACCTTTGCTTTCCTTCAGATTAGGTCGTATTATTTATATGCATGTGTTCCTAGAGATTTTAGCTGTTGGTTGGACTCTGGAAGCTTACTCTTGCTTACAGACTATGTTGGTTTCCTTTTCATATTGTACTTGCGTATTGAAGATATACTTTCTGCCGTCACTTTTGACATTTAGTTCCTGAACAAAATATAAGAAGTCCAGAGTAGTTCCGGATTGCTCCAGATTGCCATTTACTCTTTCTATATATGCTTGTTCAGTGAAGCAATGTTCTAGCTAGAATATGATGCAGATATTGGGTTCATTTCTTAGCAAGTTGAGCATGAACCAGACAGAATTTTAGCGCAATTAGGCTCATGAAGCTGCCAAGGGGCAATACCTGCCAGCACCTTGAGTTAGGGTTCCCGGCCGGTTTAAGCCTATTCACTCGCCTAATGCTAAAGGTCAAATCATATGCTGGTTGTTTAACAAGCCAAGATCTTAAGGAAAACCCAAGAAGTCCTTTGATTAGGCATTTGTACCTCTACGTAGGTATTGGGTGACTAGAAGAACAATCTTTCAAATCCCATACAAAGCAAGGAATTCTAATGATACCGTAATCATTATCAACAATCTGCATTAATAGAGCTTCAGTTAAGCCTAGCCCAAGCTTCATCCAAACTAATTCATGCAAAGTTTTAGCAATCCAATACCTTTTCTGGCATAACTTTTTCACTTCCCTAGCTTGAATTAAGATTTTTGCAGTTTTTATTTTTTATTTTTTTCAAAGGATGTTCCTCAATAAATGATAGGGTAAGGAGTAAATATTTTCATACTGCCAAGAGGGTCGGTTTCATCAGTATGTATATTTGTCTGGACAAACAAAGAGTAAAAATAGCTTTTCTGCAATCAAAAAGCCTACTGGTGAGTGAAGAATAGAAACTTACCTAAGCAGTACTATTTGTTCCACCAAAAATGTAGGTATGCTGGTTGGCTATAGATATTGAGGAATATCGGATGCTTAGACTATCTTGTAATCATCGTAAATTGAATCAAAGACACTTGAAAATAGATCCAGAGAAGATAGTTCAACTTCTGTAGCAAATCAATGTGATGCAAATTGACCCAGATAGAAGAAAAAGGGAATATGTTTGGTGATTCAAATCAACATAATCAGCCATGCCCATAATGGTGCCATCTCATGATCTCACAAGCACAAGGTTCGAAGTTCATATTAATCAGTTGGGATTTAGGAGCCTGCTAGTGTGTGTTCAGTACATATCCAGTGGACCAACCCTCTATACCGTCTATACAAACAAGAAAATAACTGCAGTAAGAGTTGGCTAAAATTATTGAGCAGCTAGCTAAACTTATCCAAGGTTGAAACTTAAGAAGTTGAAAAGATGGGTTGTTGAAACCAATAAATGTGTAGTAATATTTGATGAAGGACCTTGGGGTTAGGTGGTGTTCAATACTGTTTCAGAATTGTATCAAGAATTGTCCTTTGCTCAGACAGGACTTAAAAGGGTAACCTTATGACACAAAGCGGAAATTTGTATATGATCTTGTCCAGAATGTTATATCATATGTGATATGGCATACCCTATAGATGATATTGATCATTGGTTACCCATTATGAAAGGAAATAAATTCCATGGAGTTGTCACCAATAAACAACGGCCATGAGTAATTATTATAGCCAATTACAGACACTTGATACTGATTGGAGTTTAACTATGCCCTTGATACTTTCCACTGGGTCATCAGTATCCCTTGTTTCGTTCATCATTTATATTCTACTTTCAGTTTCCTCTATGTGGCAACATCAAGAAAAGGAATGTGAGATCAATTGAGAACTGGACTCGTGCTAAGAAGGGTTTTTTAATCGAGGCTAGAATCAAAATCTGAAATCAGCAAAACTATTTCACCCTTACGAATGGTATCTATGCATCTCTAAATATAATCTCCGTTGTGCTTTACAAAGCATCAAAAATAGAGCAAGTGTGGATTGCAAATGTGAAACTAGAAGAAAGGAAACCACCAAGGGTAAGCCCAAGTGGTATTTCCTTCTCCATCTAAATGGAAGGTTGAGGGTTCAAGTTCCCAATAGGACAAAAACAGGTGTGTGTGTGTGTGTGTGTGACTTACCTACCAAAAAAAATTTAATAAATAAATAAATGGGAAAAAGGAAACAGGTAATGAGAGTACCCGGAGTAGAGGGAACCAGGTAAAAAAAAACTATGACTCACTAAAGAACTGTGTTAAGAAGCATTATGAGATTGTTGCAAGAAGCATAATTATTGGAATTAGGAATCAAGCAGCTTCTAATTTAAGTAAACAAGGCTTCTTAACTAGCAGAGTAATAAATCATAAATCTGTAAATATTGATTGCATACAGTGATGGAGATCCTGATGGGTCATGTGATCTACACACTTAGTTTAGGCATAGACGTAGAGGATGATTTAGGATATATTTTTCTTTTATATAATAATAATTTCTTCATTTATTTAGGGTTTTATGTTTCCTATTAGAGTTTAGTAGGATACAGTTGTTATGCCTATATATATGGGAAGTTGATACATTGTGAAGGCATTTTTCATGAATATCAATTAATTACAGAGATTACTATCAATGATTTTCTTCTCCCTCCACTTCTTCTCACTTTCTCTTTTCTTCATCCTCTCTCCCATTCTTTCAATTGTCCTGCATCAATTTTGGTATCAGAACACTCGTACCCATCCTCTATCAGTTTCCGTCTCATTCTTCTCTCTTCTTCTTCTTCAATTAATGAATTATTGGCTTGTTGCTAATTTTAACGCAAGTATGGAATGATTTGTTCTGCATTCGCAGAACTTGTAATTCTGTCTTTCATACAAGTTCATTTCCTCTACGAACAGCAAAGTTAACTAGCTTAAACAGAAACCAAAGTGTGCAGTAAAATAAATTGAGACTAGCTACAAACAAAAGCACCTCATCTTGAGAACATATTTGGAACAATTAGGAAAACGTTATAGGTAAATCAAAGTTAATTTGCACTATATTGATTAAAAATAAGATTCTGCTCAGAAAAAGATATTAAGCAAAAGGCTGATGCTTAAAAGTTAGTGCTTGGGGATTACCATAATTCACAGCAATCGCATATTAGATGAGGATGTCATGACCGTAGACTGGCAACTGCAGAGAGAATTATTTAATATATCATGAACTCAGTGCCACCAAAAAAATTAAATACTCATGGTAAGGATAACTACAACACTAGTGTCATATAAATGTATTGTTGTGTAACATAGTAGCCATTAATTTGTATAAAAAAATAAGTTAAAGTTACTACCAGAGTTCAGTAAGTTGTCTGAAGAAATTTAAAGGGAAACAGCACACCTGACTTCAGACTAACAGAGCAGATGGCCAGAAGAGTAGAGGATTGATCAAGCCAGGAATTGTTAATATAATATCGGCAAATTTGACACCAGAAGAAGCTTGGCAGAGGCAGATGTCCTTGCTTCTGCTAGTACTTTTTCTTCTTCATCCTCCCCCAATAGTTCTTCTGTTCTTATTCTCTGGCGAGACACAAATAAATAAATGGTGGAAGAAGGTGGTTGCAATAAACAGCATGCTTTTATTGAATTCATAAGAAACATGGAGGTGGTTAGGTTTACTTAGCTTTAACAGTGACTGCATGAGTTGGGGTGGTTAGAGTTCATTAATTCTGTTTTACAGGCTTAAATAGGGCGGATCAAAATATGTCCAACCCCAAACCCAGATGAAGAAAAGGAGTTTGTAAGGTCCTCAACCCTTTAGAGGAGTTAATTAAGAGTTGAAAAAGTCTGAACCATGGAAACATATATAGATATAACTGATGATACAGATGGAAATGTTCTAATTGAAAACAAAATCAGGAAAAGAATTATGCACAATCCATTGGTCAAGGCTGTAATATTTAAATATAATGACACTATTTTTGAAGAATGAGCATGGCATGAGATGAAGTTGCACGTAGCTTACAATGAGTGATACCGTTAAGTAGAACTTATAGACTGAAACAGACATTTCGAAAATAAACGTTGGAAGCCACTTCTAACAGATACTACCAAGGCGACAACCTTTCTCAAACAGCGAAAAGAGTGTGCATGAATATTCGACCCTACATGGTACTATTGCAACGCTGAGTAATAAATGGATATAATTAAATTTTGAATACGACCTTCGCAAATTTAAGATAGACTGAAACGTTTCAGGAGACTGCCTGGCTCCACATATATAATCTGGACCCCTATAAATAAAGGTACAGTTATTTCATATTTCAGTGACGTTATGACAAATCTAGACTCTGCAAATACATGCTACTCAGCTGAGTTGCAATGTGGCCAAGATTTAAATTGACTAGTAGAAACTCAATACAATCGAAATCATGACTAATTACATATCAAATCATATAATTCAACTCAAACTTTTCAAGTTTCTATTATGCTTTTGTGTGAAAATAAAACAAAAGTACTGCTTTACCATTTGTAAAATGTACATGTAACATCTTTCAACATAAATTTGAATATCAATTCAATTTAATTTGAGTTCAAATATACACTATCAGAGTTTTGGAATTATCAAAGTGATAGTCAAAACGAAATTGGTTGAAGTTTATAAAATACATACAATCACCACTGGCTACATGCCATTTGATCACACAGTTCAGCACTTAATTCTGAACAGATTAAGGGCTTATTCAATCAAGTGTGTTTTTTAGCACAATTTGAATATCATTTAAAAAAAAATTGTTACTTAATTCTCAATTTGCAATTACCACTTGAAACTTCAATTAAAATTTAGCTCTTAAAGATTTCAGTACTTAATTTTCAGTTTTATCAAATAGTACCTTCCTTTTCTAATTTGCACATCATATACAGAAAAATACAGGACATATGAGAAGAATTAAACATCTTACAATTTAAATAAATATGACAAAAGTATTAAATCAAGAAGCCTTCCATGTGAGTATCAACTAGGGAAAAAATAAAATAGTTCTGTTTTCCTGCTTCTTTGTTCAGCTTTCTTCGGTTGTTTTGTTTGTTTCTTTCATGTTTTGGCCAATCATTTTGATTTCAATGGCCAAGCAAAATCACACACAAAAAAAGAAAAAAAGAAAAAAAAAAAGGATTACTACAATACGGTCTGTGATGCTTACAATTTGAATTTGACTTTAACATGATCTGAACATTAATAGAAGAGATCTGCCAATTATTTGGCTACTTGGTCTCATATAATTGTCAATGTAATGTATGATGTACCAAATATTTTGAGTATGTCACATTTTACCGCAGCACGAATATTTACATATTGTACAGGGTTAAACTGTGATGTGTGCATGTTCCAAAAGCTTCTGCTTTGTTAAAATTACCGGGAACACCAGGTGAGCCAGAAACTAATTATGCAGCAAACGTTGGAAAAAGAAACATCGTTGATATAGAGGAGATTAATATGAAAAATGCATCTGCAGTAATCAAGAATCCTGAAAACAATAAAAACAAAAAACAAAACATGCCTAATGACTCCAACAAAGTTGGACATCAATGAAAATCCAGTTGCGGTGTAAAGGCCAAATTAATTGATGAGCTAAAAAACCTACCACCGGGCAATATTTTTTGTATTGCAAAATTCAGAGTAGACGAATCAAAAAAATTCTCAGAACGAAGATGCTTTTTATAAAGAATGTGAATATGTAATGTCTGTAATTTAAAAGAAAAAGAAAAAGAGAAAAGAAAAAAAAAAAAAAAAATAGGTGGGACCCACTAATGTTTAAGTGGTCATAGGACCACGTTTTTGAAAGCTCTGTAATCTCATTCTCTCTTCTCCCGTCTCTGTCTGTATCTCTCTCGGCTTTTTGTTTTTTTTTTAGTTTACAATTTCAAGTCTTGATTAATCCCTCATCTCTTATCGGATTAAGGTGCCGGGGTAACCTAGGGGTTTAAAAGGCTTATTGCATATGCTAAATGCAATCGTGTTCCCTACGAAAGTGGCGCTATCATTTTATTGCTTTCTAGTTCATAGTTGTATAGTTGTTCATTTCATTCCTTTACTTTCTAGTTCATTGCTAGGGACTAGCAATATTTAAGTTTGGGGGTGTGATGAGCGCTGAAAAGTGCGTATTTAAATCCCTTAAGCTTAGTTATTCTAGGACCTTTATCTATCTTATTTTACCATTTTGTATTGATTTCATGTTATTTCCATTTTTAGGTACTTATCCCTAAAACAAGCGAACTCAGCCAAATAAGAGCATAATTGAAGCAATTCTGGGATGAATCAAACAAAGGAGCAAAATAGAGCAAAAGGAAGCAAAGGGTGGAATTTCAGCAACTTCGATCAATCTCAAGAAAAGTTCGATCAATCCAACTTTCATCGATCTCAGCACTTCAAAATAGATCTGAGCCATGTTTGTCCCTGTTCAAAGATCTCAAAAGTTCGATCGATCCAACTTCCTTCTCTGATCGATCGAACATCTTGTCCCAATCTAAACGATTGATCTTATCCAGTTGTATCACTCTACCAACCACTTTTGTCCTTTTTCCAAAAATATCTTCAAAATATTGAGGCAAAACGAAGCCCACGACGAGCTCTACGCATCCATACCATCAATTTCAGTTTTTGTGCACCCTTTGGATTTCGAAATTCAAGACCCATTTCAAGGGTTTTGTGCAATCTTGAGGTAGGGGCTTCCTAATTCACATTTTTCTTGCACCCTTGTGAGTTTTCTACTTTATATGTGATATAGCATGCTTAATTGTGTTAGTTGTTGTTTTGAATGCCATGATTAGTACCTATGTGAATATGTGGAAGCTTGTTTTAACGTTGTTATATGAGAAACATGTTGTACCATGAGTTTATGCATATTGTATTGTTCTTATGCTATAAATGATGTAGGAAAGCATGCTCTAGTGTGTTTTATGATAATCCCTCATTGATTTAACATTAAAGGCATGAGCTATACTTGTGAATCATGGGGTTGCATGATGGAAAAATGTTTTGAAATGGAAACGGGGAATTTTGGGGATGTGTTTTTGATGAAATGGTTTTATGCAAACCCGATCGCTGCGGGGTTACCAACGAGCCGGAGGTTAATATAGCCTAGAGGGGACTAGGGAGTCGCCCTAGTGTGGTTGAGCTAGCTGGGCCCCATAATGACGCCGCGGGGTTACCAAAGGTCAGGGACACTAGCCAATCCTCCTTTCGTGTCGCTGCGGGGTCACCAAAGAGCGGGCTGTATTAACAGTTTGAAAGTGATGATCTTGAATTTGAAAATAGGGAGCGACATCGGCACGTATTTGCATCTCCATTGCATCTTGTCATTTGTGTTGAGATTGGTAACCATGTTGTATCCTTCCCCTACGTTGTATGATCCCTATCCCCATTGGTCTATGCTTTGTTTGGATTCACGGGGCTTCAAGAGGTGCGTCTTAGGCATCACCTACTGAGCATATTTGCTCACCCTACTATTTATATTATTTTTTTCAGGTCTTGGAAATGAACCAGTGGACGACAATCCACCTCAAGCTTGAAAGTTGTTAGAAGGTTGTTTGCTATTTTGTATTTTAACCATTCTATGTGTACTCATAGTTGTGGAAATGTAACTAAGTTAGTATTCATGACCTTGTAACTTAAGAACGAATTTATCTTTTGTTTGATGTAAATGAAACTAATGGAATTGTGGTATATATTTCCATGCAATTGTATCATGTAGGGTTGTAAGACAGGGACTTTAGATCTTAACCATGTATTTTGGGACTGTAATTATGATAAGTTAGATTAATTGGTATGTGGATGTTCCACCATGAGAGGAACTATGTTGAGGTATAATGAACGGATGAATGGGATACTGGATTATAGTATGTGTTTTGTGTATTGGGACAGGTTGTTGAAGGACCATTTTTAGGGTATGTTATGCCGAAATTTTTTTAAATTTTGGCATCAGCTTAGGTCGTTACAAATTTGGTATCAGAGCCCATTGTCACGAACTTGAACCTTTTCAAGCTACCGTGCGGCCTTAGACACTTTCAAGCCCCCTTGAAGCGCTAAGTCAGCCTACCCGAGTGTGCTAGCTTAGTGAAGACTAAGGCTAGACAAGTGTTTTGCTTACTTGGGTGTGTAGGAAGAGGTTAGGCAAGTGAGCAAGAGAGTTTGGGAATGTATAGAACTTGTATTACTTGAGAGGAGATATTACAAGTTGGTTGCTTGGTGAGGAGCAAATGAACTCCCACCTCCTATTTATAGGCCTTTGGCCTTACAAGAACATTCTAGATGTGTACAAATGTGTGGCCTAGATTTAGTGTCTAGAATCATCCAGAAATATCTACACAACTCTAGAACTATCTACTATGTACAAGAGAAGTCTAGAGAATTCTAGAGAAATCTATACAACTCTAGACAAGTCTAGAAAAGGCTAGACAACTCCACACTAATCTAGAGAATTCCGGAAAGTTCCATACTTGTGTAGAGAAGTCTAGAAAGCTCCAGTCCATGCAGGCTCCATGTCATCGTCTGCTGGGCGTCTGCGTGGCATAGCCTCTTGGTAGCGGGGTGTGACATTCTCCCCCACCTAAGCTCGCGACGCCCTCGTCGCGTCTTCTTGCTTAAACCGCTGAATATGCTCTGCGAACTGCCATAGTGTATCCTCATGCTCCCAGCTCGCCTCGCTATCTGGCAGGTTCTTCCACTTCACTAAATACTCTGTATATTTGGGCACACATCTCCTGCTCATCACACGATCGGCAAGGATGCAATCAACTTCCTTGTCAAAGGATGTGACGAC